TTAAGGCAAACGCTCAAAAGCTGCTAAATCGATGTCTACACTTTCATAGTTGCTCAAAACGCTGCTTACGCTCGAAACGCCCAAGACGCTGACGCAAAGTATTTACACCTAAAGTAGAGTAAAGTTAAGTTAAAGTACAAGTTTATGGCGGATTTGGTGATTTTGGGTATCCTGGCGCCAGCGCTGTGGCGCGGGGCCTGGCAACTTAACGCAAAATTAATGTGATTCCCCTATTCAGGTGGTTGAATTTCCCTAGAACTGAGTTTTCAACCAAATCTGCAGCCACAGAAATATCCGGACAAAAACTAGATTCTTTTTGAAAAATCTGTGTAGGAATAGTTAATAATAACGATAACTATAATGACCGTATAGTGATATGCTAGAAGTATTAACATCTAAATTGTCCTTAAACAACACATTCTGCAGAGAAGTAGTGAGATTGGCGTGTAATGTAGTGTGGTGGTGCACCAAACATGGAAGTTTTTCACTTGACGCGCAAATTTGGGGGGTACTGTAATTGCCTGACAACCTGAACTTATAATCTTGTGAGGGAAGAGAATGTGTCCATCTTCTTGTTCAACCCCCCCCCTCTGTATTGCGATGTGACACTTTGACACCCATACTAATGTACCACAAATTATGCGTACGTAATTTTCGCTGCTCTATATGTAAGTATGATATAACTTTTCCACTTCTATTCTCGAACGTTCAATTTAAAGGAAAAGATGGAGTTTGAAATGGAAATGAGAACACTTCAAAAAGTGCTATGAGAAGGTGGGATTGCAGTAAACAGTGTACCATTAAGAGGAACCTTTTTGAGGGGGTCTTATTTTTCGCAACGTTTTTCCTTGCAAGGTAGGCTGCTGCCCTGTCACGACTCGGGGGGCACTCTTACATGTGCTGTAATTAATGCTTTATACCATGCGAAGTAACTTATCCTGAATCTCTGTTTTGGTGCTACTGATCAGGTGCTTTCTCTAACTAGTTTTAATGGAAAAGACATGCTGTGTTCATTTTATCAGGGCAAATTCACGAACATACTTTTTTTTTTATCTGATTTCATCGGGAATTTTCATCCTGTAGTTAGAAAGTGCCAGTCCTTCAGCTATTGATTGCGCGTCATCATCAATTTTCTGCCAAGCTTCGGATTGATTCCTTATGCTGAATAATCAGTAAGAGCATTTTTGTAGCGCTCTAATGAAAAAAAGCAAAATTTATTTTATTTATGTATCGTATTGAATTCAGGAGATCACATGCCCACCTACTTCAGGCCAACTCATCGTTCTCTACCCTATATCGTAAATCATGATTCCACGTAAAAAAGGGGGTGGTGTGACGGGGCTGTGGATTTGGGATTTATGTTCATGGGTCAGCCTTCTTGTCACTAATGCTAGCTTAGCTCGGAGAGTGGCACTATTGGTGGGTAATGATCCTGCTTCTCATCGCTTCATATTGCATGCCAGATAAATCTTACCGAGTTTATTTTCGTTGAGGATGTGAAGATCGCGTGGAGGACGCGAGTTTGGCGCGACGCAGCGCCCTTGACACGCCCCCTATCATTCGCAAACAAGAACTTTACGTATCAACTCGTTTTAGCGGATCAATCTCTTCGGGAACTACCCATATTGTCGCTCCGCTGTTGTTGTTCATTCAGTGCATCAGCTTCATTTCAATAAATAACAATCGCTCAGGGGGGGGGGGGTCTAGTTTTCAAAGTTGGGAACTATAAGGAGACTGTAGGAAACAACTAAGTACTGGAAGTACTTGAAGGAGTTATGTAATGCAATATTACCGCGGCTGTTCTTCTCATCAGTTTTCTTGCAGTTCTGAGGACAGACCATCATCGAAGCCTGCGATGGATGCACCATCATCTGGTCGTTTGTGTAAGGTCCTTCGCTCACAAACTGAAAACCGTTGAATATTGGGTAGTTGAAGATCCCAGAAACTCAATAGAAATGACGGTTATGGGACAAATTGTCACACTACAGGGCGCTATATTAGTGGGGGAAGGGGGTGGGTGTAAGGTTCGGGTACGGGGCAAACTGGCCACGCCTCTATGCTCCATACCCAAACCAAAGCTTACACGGTTCTTCATCCCTGATGGTTTAGTCCTTGATTGTTTTCCTCAGCATATTCTATCATTTCATTTTTATTAGGCTAGTCTTCTCTGCGAAACTACAGCCCGGCGACTCTGGTTGTCTGCGCTTTGGGTCTCCGCCTTGATTAGGGGAAACGACATAGAGACGCGCCCGAGTAGCACTCCAAACTTCGCTAGTTCCTAGTACAGGCGATCCTATACCCGGTAATTAGCTAATTATAAAGCTTCAATTCCAATGCAGAATATTAGGACCAATACCCTTTTGAAATTATCTGCCCTGGAAAAAAATTGCGTACCTGCTGGATTCAAGCAATGAAGGCGAACTTCCTAGCCTAAATCACAGTTTTCAGTAGTTTTCCAACCCTTTAAGCTTCATGGAGAGTGGGATGGTTTCGCACTTTCCTGACGTTCCCATAACCTCTGAGGTACTCACTGATCTCAGATGTCTGAACCTAAGATTTGCCATGTAGAACCCCTGGGTTGGCTGTTCAGTCCATCCTCCTTTATCCCTGGAACAAAGTCAAAAAGCTTACACTCCACGTCTGGCAGCGTTCCAAGGAGTGATTTCTCGCTCCAGTATCTCCCAGAGGACGAGTGAAATGAAGTGTTAGTTTACCATCTGAACAAGTTTACTATGGAGATCTCTTGTGTTCAGGAAATGTTCATGCAATATGCCTAGGAAACTGACCCTGGAAACTAAGCAATTCCGGTTCAACATTAGCGACTGAGTCTAGCGTTGGGGCTTCGTAACCGGCTGTAAAACCAGTGGCCAGAGTAGGTTTGTCGTCTTGAATTTTCACAACCACAACCTCGAGATCGTTCTGAAGCAGCATTTTTTAGCCCTATAGATTATCTTTTGCCACAGCTCATACAGAATCAGGCCATATAGGATTTACATACCATGTCCCTACCGAAAGCAATTCCCGTCCACTGATCATTAGTCACTTTACGGTTTTCGAACTCCACAGTTACATTGCCATCTGAAACCTGAAAAGAGAAAAGAAGAGCTAGTTGATCATTGTAAGGTGGGGTTTGTGCCTATAAGATTAAAACTATTCCCTAAAAATGCAAGGAAGCGTAAGCTAAAAGGGTAAGAGTTCTTTGGTGGCGCAGTGGGTACAGCACGTTCGGAGAGCAATTGGTGCGAGTTCGAAACCTGCATGAGGTTAAAACTTCTGCCCATGAATCGGCATTTTTGTTACAGTTTTCAGAGCGGCAACTGCTCGTCATAAAGCAACTTTATAACAAAATTAATCAAAGGGGCTTAGTCAAAGAGAGCTGTTTCACTCACATACCACCGTGCAGTGATATCGTCGTTCTCGAACGAGCATCGAGCCCACACCGATGGTATCAGAACACCCACGAGGAAGAACACAATTCATCTGTAGAGAAAGTAAAAAACTCTGGAGAACACGCTCATCTGTAGAGAAT